CTGGTGATTCCGAATTGCTATAGGATTGTTCTGCATGCTAATCAGTATTACAACCCCCCTAAGTAATCCTTCCTAATCGAAACACATTTCAGAATTTCGGCCAACATTTCATGAGATCGTTCACGCACTGTACGTAGGTGAACTTCATAGGGGGCCACATTAATGAGGAACCATTACGGCCCGAGTCAGTTCCCACACAGTTGGTGTTGCCCAATCGATCAGCCCATCTCTCTAGTCCGGCTTTCTAGCGTGCTGCGATAGTTAACTGCGCTCGCGAGGGACCTCTGCAGGATCGACTCCTCGTATGCGGCGGTGGCCTATCCGAGTCTAACAGTCTAGTGATGCGATTTCGCACAGCGACTGGTGGGGCGTTAAGCCTCAGTATAACAGTTACCACACGCCTCTGAGGCAATAACCAAATGCCCGCGCAAACGCAACGCGTGCTACAAGCCGATGTGGCCTTGGTTTCGGCTTAACTCAACGACGGCGACACAGGCCTTTAGGGAAGCAAACACGCGATAGTTCGCTCTTCCTTATCGGCAGTAACTAACTTAACCGCAGAAGCTTAAGTACTGAACGAGGCTTTAGCTCTCGTGAAAAGGTCCGTGTCTGGAAAGTAGATGCGACACTTGGAGTCGCGGAAACATGTGGAACAGGCTGTTTGGATCTGAAAACTATTAAGCGTTCCTCCTGATAGCTTTTCCCCATTTGTATCACGACAACTGCATGGATACCCAATCAGATCAGTGCAGTGCCAAAAGGTGCGGCAGCACTGTAGACAGGTTGGCGTTTGTCATTTGTGTCTCCCAGGGGTGTGGGGGTTGCGATGACCGCGGTGGTGTCCGACAGTGACAGTGCGTGATTGAAAAGTACTGTCTTATGAGGGTCATGCAAGAGCGGCGTTCTCAGAAACTTTGAGTACTCAGAGACGCGATGAATAGTTTTGGAGTGGCTACACCCCGTGACTACATATAGTTCAGTGTATTTAGGAGTAAAAGATGATGCCTTTCAGTACCCTCTTGAAAACGATGCATACCATATTCGTGTTGAAATAAGCATGTTACTAAATTGTTGCCAGTAGCATTCGTTTTACATAACATTATTTCAAAAGTGTGGGGCTGCGACCAGGGCACCCTCAGTTGTGGAGGATAACGTGGGCAGGTCCAGTTCCTTGCTCCCTTCCACACTCCACTTTCTTCATTTCCAGGCTGTAAATGCTACATATCTACTCCAGCGAGCTTTCTTGCCGGACTCACCTTAGTGCAAAAGTTTTACTGTCCAGCTTATAACTAATAAGTTCAATGAAGGACCATGTCCTTCCGCGTAGAAGGGCTAGCTTGCCCCACCAAGTTTTTAACTAAGAATAGACAACCTCGACCACTCGCATTCTTCTTTGCCCTTTCCCAACTTTATTCTCCCTCCGCCTCCCCCTTCCCTTCTGTGTGCAGCTTTGCACCAACTTATCAGACCTGCGAGGCCAAGACCCTGACAGCCTCTGCCTCGTATCAGCAGCCGGTCTTCAGCCAGCTTCCACCAGTCGCTTCTGATCGTCGGGGCCCGCCGGCAGCACCCCTGCCTACGGCTCGTCAATCCTGTCTCCTCCAGTCGGACTCCGTTTTTATTCCCCTGCGTGAGTCCACTAACAGTCCCAGCTCCTCCGGTTCGCCGCAACTACAACCAACTGTACGCAAGGCGGCCCTCGCACAACGCTCCGCCTCCTGCGCCCTCGTGGACTGCTGCGTCAGCCCGGTCTTGATCCCAGCCAGTGCAGGCTCTGATTCGGCAACCG